AGATCAAGAAGTCGATTTAGACTTTGACAGTGTAGATCTACCATCCATCAAAACATTGGGGTTAGTGTTGCAACCGAAAATTGACAAATTCAGAATTAAAGTGGATCTACATCCAGCAAAGCGGGTGACTAAACGATCAATTATTTCAAATGTAGCTTAAATATTTGATCTCCTTGGCATCCTGGGTCAAGTTTTAGTAACCGCCAAGGTACTGATTCAGGACTTATGGCAACTCAACCTAACGTGGGATGAAGCGGTACGAAATCAAGTATACAGTAGGTGGATCAGTTTTTTCGAAGAATTAAGATAACTTCATCGGTTTCAAATTGAAAGGCATATATTTGGATAGCAGATAGCGACATCGGTACAACTTCATGCATTCTGTAATGCTTCCGAAAAGGCTTTTGGTGCTGTGATATAAGTTTGAGCAACATTGAAAGATGGACGTCTGATTAATCGGCTTTTATGTTCCAAATCACGCGTCTCACCCTTAAAAACACAAACTATTCCACGCTTAGAGTTGTGTGCGGCTCTCCTTGGAGCAACACTAACGAAAAGAGTAAAAGATGACTTGAACTATAAGGTGCCAGCATATTATGGGACCGATTAGGAAATCGTGCTGTACTGGATAAATTCGGTGCCAGCAAAGCATCAACAATTTATATCAAACAGAATTGTTGCAATTCAAGGCATTTCAGTACCAAGCCAATGGCGACATGTGAGTTCACGACACAACCCTGCAGATGCATTATCACGTGGCACTAAACCTTCCCAGTTACAAACTAATCACTTATGGTTTTTGGGCTCAATGTTTCTACATGGGCCAGGAGAATTCAAAAAAATGTTATGCAGTCTTCCTGATAACGCAGAATTGAAGGGTACTTTACGTCAGGTTGCATTAGCTGCAATTAGCTGCAGTGCCGACTGGGTGTATACAGTAAGCCACAGAAATTCCTTCAAAACCTTGTTACATATTGTAGGCTATGTGCTGCGCTTCATAAACCGGACCACACAACTTCAAAAGCGCGAGATTCATTTAATAGAACTCGATTCAAAAGAGCTACGGGATTCAGAGACTCACATAATAAGGTGCATTCAGGAAGCTGAATTCAAAGAAGACAAAAAGGAATTAAGGCATCGCAACCAGGTAAAGGCAACAAGCGCATTAGCTGCATATACTCCATTTTTAAATGAAGACAACATCATTCGGGTTGGAGGCAGGTTAGATTACTTCAATGTCGAATCATCCAAATGACTTTGACTTTCTAATTGGTGAAGACCTTACAGCACCAGCAAGTACAAGCACACCAAATTTGAAAACATCATGTAGAAAATATAGTCTTCACATGAAATAAAATACAACTGTATGCTGCGAGTGTGCATTTATTACTGCTTTAAACAAAAAAGAATAATTCAATAGTAAGTATAAAGTTAAAAAAAAGAGAGATTAAAATATTAATTCATGATAAGAGATAAAAGATATTTATGATATTAAAAGATATTTTTCACATCATGCGACCCGGCGCATCGCATATTAATTTAAGCGGATATAATAGTTGAAAAGGTCTTCTCATAATTTTCTGGTCTTTGAATCTAACATCGTAGCTACCACCACTGCCATTTGCCAAAGAAGTCTTGATTGATGTTCATCTTTGACCAATACTAGATCGCCAATATTTATAGATTTTGTTGGTTTAGACTCATTAAGATGAATTGAGCGTAATTGAGTTAAGTATTCGTCCTGCCATCGTTACAGTCAGTACTAATATAGGTGAGTGGTCTTCGATTTACTACACTTTCTACTTTCTGTTAGTAAAGTATCCATTTCATAACAAGCCAGCCTTACTTTACCAATTGCTGCCTTTAAACAGTTTTATACAGTTCGTACAAGCTGCTCCCAAAATCCACCCCACCACGCTGCACGTTCTGGAATAAACTTCCACTTAATGCCATTGGCTACAGCAAATTGGTTGATTCTGGTTTTCTCCATTAGTTGTTCAAGCTTTTGCACTTCCATACAACTTCTTTTAAAAGTTTTTGCATTGTCTGATATAATAACAGAGGGGGTGCCACGCCTTGCAATAAATTTACTTAGTGCGTTTATACAGCTTTCAACAGTTAAATCTCCTACCAGCTCCAAATGGATTCCTCTAGTTGCTGCACAGGTAAACAACATTATATACGCTTTTTAAAATCATTTTTGTTGTCAGTAGAAGTTATATATAACGGACCAGCAAAGTCTATGCCAGTGGTTTGAAATGGTTTGGATACAGAGACCCGTCCGATAGGTAAATCCGTCCAGTTTTCAGATGCATTTTTCCCATGCAGCCTTTTGCAAATTATACTTATTTAACTTATTTAATTATTAACACCCAAAATCGCTTTCGAATCTTAGCTAAGGTAGCATTAATTCCACTGTGCATAAACTTTTGGTGCGCTTCCAAAACAATCAACTTAGATAAATATGACTCCTTTGGCAATATAATTGGATTGCTTAGTTTTTCATACTCAGTCGTTGGTAAACGACACGAAAGACGCAGTAACCCATCTATTAAAACGGGATTCAATTGTAAAATTTTTGATTCCGCTCCAATTTTTTGTCCTTTCTTCAACGATATTATTTCTGACAAAAAATACTCACTTTGTGCACAACCAATCCAATAAACTTCCGCTTTATTTAATTCCTCTAGAGTCAAATCATCAATCTTCTCCAATTCAGTATTGGTAGATTGCTGAATTCCTTTATATTTTATATTCCTTAAAAATCGAAATACGTATGCGGTAACTCTTAAAATTTTCCGTAAATTACTAAACTTTTGTATATCAAATATAGTTTCCTTAGATATATTGCAAACATTCTCTTCTTGAAGTACTTTTGTGATAAGAGTTGCGCTATCCTCAATTTCCCCTTCCTAAATCCTAAAGGTTTCCATAACGTTATCTAGCGATTGAGGAGTCTCTACTTCTTCAATAGGATATAGAGGAAGTAGATTTAGTAAATTGGTTCGATATCTACTCCAGTTGGTATCACGGTAATTCCGATAAGGTTTCTTAACTGGACATTATCGATTTATGTAGAATTGAATATAACGATGGTCAGAGAATGAGTCTTCATCAAGAACTCTCCAATCCTTAATCTCAAGATCAGTGTTTTCAATAGTTAACGTAATATCTAAAACTTCTTTTCTGCCTGCAATAATAAAAGTAGGTTCTACTCCTGTATTGCATATATAAAGATTATAATCTAGAATAAAATCGAATAACGACTCACCTCTTTCTAGGTCTACCTGAGTCTGTGTTGCTGATAAGTTTATAGTCATTTGTTCCAATTCCACAGATCCGGTTTTCCAGTATCCATGGTTCCTGAATCAGAACAACATCGGTTCCACCCTGTGGATTAGAAGGTTTGCTGAGAGTGGTGGAGATTAATTTGAATTACCTTCATGAGGTACTTGAACCTCTACCACCGTTTTGTCGGCTTCGTCATCCGAGTCCAGGAGCCCACTCTCATCGAATAGATTGCCTAGACTGGTCACCGACCCCGCATCCGATTTTTCTTCAGACGTCAGAGAGAGCGAGTCCACCTCCATTTGATCTGGCAGGTCTTCACTTTGTGTTTCCTCACAAGTCTGCTGTCTTAACATTGGTCCTTTAGCTGGTTCCTCCAGCAAGGGCTGATCAGACGTAATCTTCTCCGGTTCTTCCGCGGCATCGGTACGATAGACCTTGAGATTTGGCTTCTCGAAGCCATAGGAGATTTCATATTTAACTTCGGAGAGCGGTTTCAATGACTCCGCATTAAATACAAGGACAGCTTGTCTGGTACGTCCAACAGGCTCCTCTAATTTAACCACCCTCCAATTTCCAGTTGGAAAATTGGGGTTGCAGATCCTGATGATTTTCAGAATTTGCTCCTGATCAGTTTGTTTGGTTGGGATCCAAACCCTGGCCCTAGGACGAGATGGAATATCCTTCCTGTCGACCGCTTCAAGTCTGGCTCCATGCCAGATCTCTCCTACTTTAGAGACGGCTGCCTTGTACAAGGCAACGGATCTTGCATCCTTGCAAGCGACCAATTTCACTTGTCCTTGGTGCCAGCCCGCGTCTTCGCAGGAGGGAGCAGGTCCTGGGTTTTCTTCCAAACTTGGAGGAAAATGTCTGCCAACGCGGCCGACACCCATTCCATTTGTTCTTGGGGATTCTCCCCTCCTCGGCACTCCCATCCAGGACACCTAAAATGAGATTGTCCTTCGAAACCTCACTGTACGGTCGTACCAGTACATTGTGACCTCTTGGTTTCTTCGTAAGAGGGGGTTCTTCTTCCTGAGACCTTTGTTTTTTAGACACTCGGTCCGGTTTGGAAGCCTCTTTATTGCTTGATTTAGCCAAGATGCTTTTGACCCATTCAAGGGATGAAGCCTGTTGTTGACTGATTTTATCGGCCGGGATCTCACCTACGCGCTGCAGAATTCTTGTAGCCATACGACGGTCGTTATGGGCATTTTTAGAAGGTGGAATTCTTCTTGAGGATCTGGGTTCTGACTTGTCACTGCTTTTGGCCGTGACAGAAGAGGCAACATACTGTGGGGTTTTAAGTCCATA